TAAGGAAGGGAGCACAGCAAGGATCTTCTCCAGTCCTTTCCCTATTCTCAGCTACTCTTCCTGCTCAGTCCTGGAAGTCTTGTCTTTGTCACACTGAATAAAACATTTTTCTGAGTAACTCTTTTGTTCATGTATTGTACCACATCATTAGGTTTTCAGTTACATATGATGATTAATGAAAAAAGGCATCTATCTAATAGGAAAGACAATACATGGTGATACCATGTATTGCAATACTGGAAAGTCCCTGAGTAATCCTACTGCCATTAGTTTGTTTTTTTTTTCTCAAAAATGCAATGAATGCAATTAAACTGGTCTCTTTTTTCCTTGGAAGAAGTCGCTGTATGCTGAGTAGCCTGAATACCCTGACAATGTTTCAGGCAGCATCCTGTCCATTTCTTCTTTTTATTTTTTTTTTTTTCCCCCAATACTACTTCCCTTTCTGAAGATGATTTCATTTCCTATGCTGTTACTACATACATGGGAAAAACCCAGGAATATACAAAGACAGATATTTTCCATCAAACTCAATCAGTAAATGGCTTTTGTTGTATTGTGAATCTGCCAAAGGGCACAGAAAGGAAGAACTGCAATTCTGGAGTCCTTCAAAGTGCTGAAAAACGTGAATCAAGTTCTGAGTAAACCACAGATACTCTGCTGGAAGCTCAGGGGGTGCTGAAGCAAGGCTCAGCATCTCCATTAGCGAATTTTAGATGTGCAGCTGCAGGCGTGGAATATTAAATGCACAGCACCAGGACCTAGAAGAGCCAGCAGGATGAGCACTGGGAAATCAACCTGGCTGACAGAAAATTCAGGAGAGAGAGAAAGAAGTGCTAGCAAGGAGTTCAGGTGTGTGATATAATTGTGTATTCCTGGAGCAGCTGCTTGTGAACGTGCCATGTGCTCCCAAGACAGAGCTCCGAGGCGCCTCACCTGCCTCTGAACCAGAGATCTCATCAGCAGGGCAGGTGGAAAAAAACATTCACCAGCAGGGATGTTGCAACTGTGCTCCTCTGCAGCAAGAATCACGGGCTGCACGGAAAATACAGGAATAGGGATCATCATCTCCTGTGCTCTGAGGAAGTACGGCTGTGGTCCAGCAGAGCTCTGCCTCTCATCCTTGTTCTCAGAAGAATGTGCAATTTTATGACTAATTAATTCTTCTTTCTTAAACCACTGGCACAGTGACCTTTGTAACATCAGTGCAGGAGTGATTTGGCAAAGACCCTCCACTCCATATCCAGCACTTCTAGAAATTAACAATGCGGTTTCCATTTTTTTAATGAGGGTAAATATCAAACACAAGCAGTTTCAGGAAGTGTGGAGGAGGCAGCCACACAAATTTCAGCGAGCCTCTCCTGAGATGGAGGGCTCAGCAAAACAATCTGGGCTTGCAGAATTGCACATTAACTAAACAAAAGAGAATTAATATTTTTGCACAGGACTGATCAGACATTGCAGAAGCTCATAGAAGACAGATACTAAAAATTAGTCTCGTGTTTACATTTCTAATTACAGCCCTTTATATTTTTCATGTAAAAGTCATTCAGTGTGAAAGCTGGCAAACTTAAAATCTTGTGGAGTTTGTTGATATCTAATTAAGAAATAGTAGTGGGGAAAGACAGAGAGTTATAGCATCTGTAACTATAATGAATTCTTTGTTTGGCCCTCTCGAGTCAGCCAGTTTGCCTCAGGAAAGGTTCACAGCAGAGACCATCTCACCACCAAAACACAGATGAAACTAAAGATCCCAAACGCCAGGAAAAAAACCACAAAGTTGTTGAAGTATTTTCCTATTGCAGATCAAAAATGTCAAGAGATTTTGCATACAGGGTCACAGAAGTGTAAGAAATTAAGAGGAAGAGTTTGCCTAAAGGAAATGTAAAGCGAAACAGGACTACCCTTTCCTGTGGAACCTAACACTCTTTCAAAAATCCCCATCAGGTCACATGGACTGACTCAGCTGCTCAGCAATTTTTAAATCATCTTTTACATGTTTGGATGTAAAATTCCAGGGATAAGGCAGAATTACTAAAGATAGCAGTGAACAGTCATTGAGGGAAATGAGGACAGGGCACTGCAAGGATCCCCCCAGGGGAAAGGAATTCCTCACTGTTCATGTGGGCATAAGGAAATGTAAATTTTCTGGGCACTCGAGTCAGAGAAGGGCAGGAAGACAGAAAATTATCTGAGAACCTGCAGTGTTTTCACTTGGGTACCTCAGCCTCTCTCCTGCCCTTTGTTTTCTATAGTATAAAGGCATCTATCTATAGTATATATATCTATAGTATAACTGATGTGGAAGCCTTGATTAATGGAATTACTGAATCCTATGCTTACTGCAGCACCTCCAGGTTGATCTGAACTAATCCTGCAAATACCAATTTGCCATGTGTTTTGGACAGGGGCTGTTGGACCACGCACCAGAGTCAGAAGTGAGCACAGGACAGCCTGCATTCCTGTGTGCCATACACTGCTGATAGGCATCAGTGCTCAGAAATCTTATCGCTTGGTAGCTGTTAAGGCGCTCTCCTGCCAAGAAAATGGAAGCTTCTCAATAGCTGTATTCATGACCCTTATGACAAAAAGGTGTTTATACAGCTGAAGGATATCAGGTATCATTTATGACACTCATATTTAAGGCTTAGCAATGGCTCTCTTCAGTCAAAGTGCGTGTGAACTACAATTCCAGCAGCTCTTAATTCACTCGCTTCACGTCTCCAAAACAAGGCCCTTTAGATCAATTGAAACAGCAGCTGCTGTCTTTGGCCCAAATCACACAGTTTGCAATAAAACTTGTGGCCTTTTCATTCAGAGTTCATCTCTTCTGACTTCTCTCTGGTAATCACAGGAGAGAATTTATCTCTGTGGACTGTGAGTTTTTTGCAGGCCACTCCTGAGCTCTGTGCTCCCCACATGATAGATTACAAGTCAAAGCACAGTCTCCAGAACAGTGCTCAGCTGTCCCACTGCTCCACGTCAAGATTTGTTATGCTGTAATCGTTATGTTGTCTCTGACAGACGTACAACACGTAAGCCCTTTCTTTATATTTGAGTCAAACACGCAGAGCCACAAACATCTGGTCTGCCTGGACCAAGAAAGCAGAAATGATGCTTCCTTAAAACCAAACACGCAGAAGGTTTTGCACAAAGAGGACGAAAGATAAAAGCTTCATTGCATATAGAGCCCAGAAAAAATAACTTTTTACTTGGGATACAGAAAATAATTTGTGAAATTAAATAGGAATAACGGTTTATTGGAAACATTTGGGGAAAAAAATCCACACTTAGTAGGCCCTGCAATTCATCCTTCCATTTTCTCCTTGTATGCAGGCCAGAAAACTTTGCCATTCATGGTCTAGCTTGCATTTCTGCAAACAGCTTGCTGTGCATGGAAATAGTGTGTGAAGAGAAAATAAAAAGTTCAGAGTCAGGAACAAACAACTCAGTCTGTTGGACAGGACAGCACTTGGAAAAAGAGGTTGACCTGGAGACATGATAAAGGCCTACAGAAGTATGAAGCCAGTGGAAATCAGGGATAAGGATCAATATCTGCTTCTTGTTACCCTGTAACAGGAGGCAGCAAATGAAACCAGAACCAGACTGCCAGGGATAAGTCTCAAAGACACTTATTCTTCTCTCACACATTCCTAGACACCTGCTGATTGCCGTGGTTGAAGAGGACAATCCCGAGGCAGACCTCAGTCAGACAAGCAAGGGCTGTGATGAGGGGTTGATCTGGTTATCTGTTAGCTAATCCAGCTGTACTTTCTGCACACTGTAAAGTGACAGGGAAACCAGGTGCTTAATTCCATAGCTTCTGGAATAGCTACTGTTCAGATCATGTGCTCTAAGGCAGGTTATAAACTAGAGACAGTGATAGATATGGTAATAGTAACTGGAATTCACTCTGGCCTATGTAAAACTCTGAGACCTTCATGATCAGTCAGAGAAAAATAACCTACATTCATTCACATTTGGCTTTGTTCCTTTGACTTCCCCATTACCTGGCAGAGAACAGTAATGGCAGTCCTTAATGTTTAACCCAAACAAGGCCAAGTTGTATTACAGTATTTGTCACTACGGTTAAAAGAAATGGTTGAACTCCTCTGACTTCGTCTGAATAATCCTTCTTCATGATCCCGTCTTCAGTTTTCTTTATTTTCATCATAATCAGAAGTAATCTTCTCTTTACAGGGTCAAATTTAAAATTGCAAAAGTGCCTCACTTTATTTCAGAAGCAGAATCCTACAGCAGCTTTCAGAATTTTCCTTTGCCCAAATTCAAAGCAGCAAATAACTAAGAAGTTTTTGCTTCAGAAGAAGCAGTCATCCTCAAAAAACAAAATCCACCTTAGGTTAGCAAAGCAACTCATTGTGTCATATTTACATATTCTGTGTGTTCTCAATGATACTACAGAGTCTCAGTGGTACTGTTGCTTATTTCAGTGAAACTAGATTCAAATTCATCAAAAGAATGCTGTAAATATTTCTGCTAAAGTTATCTCAGCATATAAAAAAGGATTTTTTAAAATGTACATGAATATAAGGACATGGAGAGCTAGTATCTATAATTTCTAGAATTATTGGCTCCTGCTTCTGTCATGTCTTAAAACAGAAAAAAATAACATTGAAATCCAAAGACACAGAGGTAGAAAATCACAGAGCAAATGCCTTTGAGCTGTGGTAGAAAGTCACAAGGAGGACACGACGACAGATTAAAGTTATTCCAAGAAATTACAACCTCTATACAGACTGCACTCAGCTCAGTACCAGGCAACTCTACGTGTCTTTACTCCACAAAGTGCTTTCTATGAATGAGAAGCAGTTTTGTGGTCATGAAGGGAAAGGGGCTTCCCCACTCACCTGTGACTCAGTGCTCAGCAGCATCTCGCAGGTTTGGAGTTTCCCAAACCCCCCGTGATGCCGGAGTGCCCCGGCTGGCCCAGGCAGGATATAAACACAGCCTGTCCCAGAGCACAGGCACTCGCCAGCCCGGGATCTGCCAGAGCTCACCCCACCACAGAACCAGGCCCAGGCCACACGAGGAAGACACGCTCTTGCATCATGGCTGGCAAGACTGTGGCTGCTGTGCTGGTCCTGCTCCTGATCTCAGCACTTGGAACGCAAGGTAAAGGAACCCTTCCTCAAGCTCTGCTGACCAATGGCCAGAGCAAATGCTGATGGAGAGGCACTGTGCTGTCTTACCAGTGCAGCAAAGGACTCTCCCGATGCTGTCAGCAGAAAACCCCATCTTGTGCTTCCTGTGAAAATAGTGAACCACTCCACCCTTTTTTGTTTTCCAGGTGAGCCGGTGCCGCGCTCGGCCATTGAACTCCGGTGCCAGTGCATAAGCACCCATTCCAGGTTCATCCACCCCAAGTTCATCCAAAACGTGAACCTCACCCCCAGCGGACCTCACTGCAAGAATGTTGAAGTCATGTAAGTGTTTTGCAAAAGGCTCCTGATTACTTAACGAGGAGGAAGCAGATTTTGCTCTCGATCTGTGAGGAGCGTGAGTCGCCGGCAGAAGCAGCTGCTCAGAAAGCAGAACAGCAACATTCCCTGCTCCTGCAGACGATGTGCTACGTGTTGGGAACTGAGTGTTGTTTTGCCAAGCTCTACTTTTAGAACACATGCAATATTTTAACCTAAATTTGCTGTCATCAGGCAGCACATAAATAACTTCCTAAAACTCTGAATTCCACTGGCTTGTGAAAATGCATGGAGCCATGCTGAGCAAGAGATAAAAGCATAATTTTTAAGGGCTAGGTCAAAAAAGTGATCACACTTCTGCTCAAGTCAATGAAAAAACCGTACCATTAGCATTCAAATTGTTCCAGTTGCATTCCAGAACTTTTACTGTTAAGTAACCAAGCTCCTCTGGAGTGGGCAGTACAATTTCTGAATCAAGATGGAAAGATTTAACTCTTCAGTGAAAGACCGACACCAATACAAAGCCAGCTGGGGGAAAAAAGCAGTTTTGAAAAGAGGGAGAGTCCTGCAGATGGTTTAATGCATCCAACAAACAGATATGAGAAGATACTAAGCCAGTGAAAAAGATCCCTTTATGTTAGGCTACAGCTTCAGTTTATGCAGCTTCAAGTGGAACATGTCAGTGTATGTTGTTATTATGAATGTTGTTGTTATGAGAGACATGTTGTTATTATGAGAGAATGGTGACATGATTTCACTAAACAGCCCTTTTCCCTTCCTTTCTTCCCTGTTGCAGAGCTACCCTGAGAGATGGTTATGAATGTTGTTATTATGAGAGAAAGGTGACATTGCCTTGGGTTTCACTAAACAGCCCTTTTCCCTTCCTTTCTTCCCTGTTGCAGAGCTACCCTGAGAGATGGCAGAGAAGTGTGCCTGGAGCCCAGCGCTCCCTGGGTGAAGCTGATCATCAAGGCAATTCTGGACAAGTGAGTCATTTCTCCTCAATAATCACAGCTTATTGAAAACCGGTATTTTAATTGAACTACCAAACACAGACGGGTGTGAAGTGCTCCAAAATTGTCTCCTCGGGCAGTTATTACCTTTTGTGTTCGCTAATTGTGACAAACACTGTGATTGCTTTGAGCCTTAATTACAGCATTAGCTATTGAAGCCTTGCTGTGCCACTCATCTCTGGGAAGGTTACCTTCCTCTCCCCTAAGGCACAAGCATTTTGAAAACCTGCAGCACAACTGCCCAGAAAATCCGAGCATTAACTGACTGGTTTTCTCATGCTTGCAGTGGCAGAAAGCAGCAAGCAGTTTTTCAAACTACTGGCACATAGATAAAAGGGGGGGAAATCCAGCTCCAGCTGTGAAGTGAAGCATCGAACTATGGAAATTCACTGCTGTTGAATCATTTTGGGAATTTGATGACGTACCAGTCTCCCTTGGGTTCTATCACAGCTTCTCGGGGTCTTGAGCACAGAAGCACGAAGTGGTGGATTTCAGCTGACACCAGCAAGTCTTACCTGTTGTATGGTTGATTTTTAATTGCTTCCTTTTCCATCTTCTTTCTTTCTAGGGCCAACACCAAACCTGAGACAGTGTCCTAAAACAAAGAAGAAAAATGTCCTGACTCCTCCAGCGAGGCAAAAATAGGGCAGACACTCACCCAGTTTCTGGCAGCTCAGCTCCTCCTGCCTCCTACATTCACAATGTCACAGCATTTAGAATATGCATTCCCTGGTTTGTAGTTAGTTGACAACGACACTTTTAGTCTTTTAAACTGGTCTCATCACGTAGGAAAGAAACCACTGCCTCAATAAGGAGGCGGGAAAAATGGCTTGTGAAGGAATATGGGGATGATTCTGGAATAATTTTTGCTAAACACAGCTGGAACAGTGCAGTGCATGCCCAGTGGAGCTTTCACTAAATGACTCATTTCCTTTGTGCTAGCAGTTTAGGAAAAGACCAGCAACAACTTCTCCCCAGAAAAGCATGGACAAGTAACTTGACCTGCACCTGGGTCACTGCCACTCACAGTGGGCTACTGGGCGAGGAGGGGAGCTTCCAGAATTAACACGGCAAAATGATTGTACATCAGGTTTTGTGTCATCATTTTCAAGATATTATTTATGGTGAATGAGTGTTGTGAAGGTATAAACATATATTTTAATGCCATCTTTTGGCTAGAAAAAACCCCACTTTATTTATTTATAGAACAATATTTATTTATTTATTTATTTATTGAAGATATTTATGATTACCTATCTAATAAATGCTTGTTGAAATGTTTTCACTTCAATGTTGTTTGTTATTATTTTCCTTGTTGGAACAGAGAACTGATAAAAAGAGGAAGCATTTTCTTTCCTTTTGTATTACATAAAGGGTTCCAAGCAGGGCAAGGGGGGGATCTGAGTTGTAGGGGCCAGCAAATTGAAACAGCATGTTGCTGCCTCTGTAAAGTGTAGATTATTAGAGGAATTATGACAGTTATCTACTTTCTTCCTCTTTCCTGTGAGACTCAGTGTTTTCAGAAGTCTGGATGATCAAATTCCCAGATAGTAATGAACAAATACTGGTTGTCACAGAAATCACAAGGCCATAGCAGTGTGGTGCTCTGACAGAGAGCACCTGAGAACACGGCAATGAACAAGGGTTTTCATCAGCTTAAAGAAACAGGGAAATCTGATAAACATTAAGGAAGTCACTGAGAGCATCCTCCCTAATTCCAGTTAGGAGGGAGGACTACATCAGGGGAAGTCCTAAGAAAGAGAGCTCTAATTATTATATGGCTTTATATCTACCTGTAGCAGAGCAAATAACCGAGGAATGTTGCAATTCAAGCAGCAAACACTTGGGAAGTGGGAAAGTTGAGCAAATATTTTGATATTTGTTTAGGTTTGGTCTTTTCCAACAAGGAGCCACTCCATATTCTGCACAATCAGCTCATGTTTGCTCATGGTGCAAGACATAAAGGGAGTTTTTGGCAGTGTATGAGCAAGTTCTTGTGCAAGAGGACAACTATTCTGATGACACTTTCCTCCCTGTCCCCACATTTGCCCCTGCCCCACTGCACAGCATTGTACAGCCTGCTAGACCTCAGAATGCAAAGGAGTCAAGGTTTCTCAAGGAGACAGGTTTTGTTCAGACTTGTCTTACAAGTCTAAGCCTTCCTGTTAATAATCCTGAGGGATTTTTATAAGATATCTTCTTTCAGAGATGTAATTTGGAGATAAGGATGTCGCAAGTATCAGCCAAGGATGGGGAGAGGTTGGGAAAGACCACTTGATCTGCACAGCCATAAAAATCTGGGTGTATCCTAAAGGACTGGCATCAGCTTCAGTGTAATACAGATACACATAACATTTGCCACCAGCAAAATCCCAGTCAAGTTACTGGGAGCTGAACCACAGCTGAGAAAGGACTTTCCTCATCAGTTCTTCTGTCCAAAATGTCAGCAATGGCTGCGCTTGTAGGACCCTGGGCACAGCATCTGCTCCTTCCTCCGTAGGCTCATTGGTGAGATGCTATTCCAAGGGTAGAAATGACTACATAGCACATCCCTGTTCTGTGTGCAGTCACAGAATACCTTCCATAGAATCATAACAACCACTCTCATGCTTCCAAAAATGTATTTCAGTGCTCCTGGAGACTTCTAAGTGAAGCACTGCGGCTGACTTGGTGTCTACCTTCACCGGACTGGGCTGCTCTTCCCCGTCACTAGAAGTCACTTATGACATGTGTTTATCTGCTGTCTTAGGCACCTGTGATTATTCTAAATGCATGAGGTTAGAAAGAAAAACAAGCAACTTCCTAAGTGTTTATTTTAACCAAGTATCACTACAGCCCTTACTGCCAGATACTTTCTCCTTTCACGTTATGGACAGATTAAAGTTTCAGAAGAGCTTAAGTGACTTTGGTGATGATGCCTCCGTCATTTTAAGCTCATCATTTCCTGCTTAATGACTAGAGAGATTTCTCAGCACAGAATAAAGCATGTAAATCCCTTTAGCCAAACTGAAAAAGACAAAATCCTTTCAGAGAGCAAGAGAAGAAGAGTTGAGTCTTCATAAAACACTGACTATTAACTTCATCCTTTTCATATCAAAATATAGTGAGCAAGACTGGGATGAAAATTTCTTGTAATTATGCAGGTAAATGTTTTTTGCACAAGGCACTTAGGCATGATGCAAAGAGCTGAACAGAAGTTTTATATTCACAGAGGAGGGAAAAAGTCTCTTTATTTTGGCTCAGAGACATGTCTGGTAATGTTGTGTTGATTTCCAAGTGCAAGCTTAGCGTTGTTGGCTAAAGCCAATATCCCATGAAAAAGTGCAAATAGAAAGTGATGGATAACAACAACAATTTAAAGAATAATTGAAAATATACAGCAGCAAAGGATAGGGAAGTTTGAAGTGCCGCCGAATGGACTGCACAGAGGTTTGGGTTTCTTATGCAACGCTCTCATGTGTTAGGAAACCTGCATGTGCAGAACCCACCTCTCAGCACTCAGGCTGCTGGGAGTGCACCTTTCAGGTATAAAACCTGATGGGAAGCAGCACCAGAACAGGACCTCTGTCAAGAAAACCTGCACAGCAATGGATGGCAAATCTGTTGCTGTCATTTTGGTTCTCTACTTGGTCGCAATGGCAGGGTCAGAAGGTAAGAAAATTATTTCTTAGAAATCATGTAAGCAATTAATAAGTATACACATGCAAACGCAAATGGGCTTATGCTATGTCCATGATGACTTTTTGCAAGAGAAGGGCATCCTCAGTAAACTGTCATTCAGAAGTAAAAAGGATCATCTGTACCTGTGAGGATGCTGTGGATGTTTCCAGGAGTAAAATATGCTTCTGTGTGCAAATGAATTTATTCCTATGCCACAATATATGCTTGTCTCTAGATTTTAATAAGTGCTTGAATTAAAACAGGGCCTTTCCCCCTAAATATGTCCATATAGATCTTTTACAAATGACAATTTTATCCTTTTTGCAATTTTATTCTTAGTAGGCAGGTTGATGACAGAGCAAGAATTATCCCGTTTGCAAGAAAGAATAAGGAATATGAGCAGCTGATCGTGGCAGAAACGTAGCAACCCAAGTTTAAATTCAAATGCAGCTGCACACCAACAGCTCTGAAAATGCAGCTGCTGTGTTGTGCAGATGCAGTGACTTTTATCTCAGCATCCTGCAAATCAGAGTGTCTGAGGAACAAGAATGAGGCTGCAGAAGAGAACACAGTTTGTTTCAGGGGAGCAAATAAGATGTACCTAGAGATAACAGTTTTGTTCCACAGGTAAGGCCCTGGAGAAGACAGATGAAGGAGGCTCCCAATGCCAGTGCATAAGCACTCATTCCAAGTTCATCCCTCCCAAGAGTATTCAGGATGTAAGATTAAGCCAAAGAGGACCTCACTGCAAACATGTGGAAATCATGTGAGCACTTTTCCCAAACAGCACCTTGCTTCCTACAGGAGGAACAGACCCACCATTTCTCATCCTACTTACTCATGTACTTTGAGGGGCAGGATGGTTCCCTAGCAAAGCCTCAGAGACACCAAGTATCAGGAATGAGGCCTTATGGCCAAAGGAATAAGCTCATTCACAGGCAGTGTTACAAACTTCCAGAGAGTATTTTAATTCTCTTTCTGTCATCTTACTTACGAACAACATCAGAGGGGAGAATCAGATTCCCACAACACAGAGCACAATTAATAACTTAGACATTGAAGAATCAATCAAAGATACAAACTTGATCCTCTTGACATGGATTAAAACAATTTCCTCTGACTTGGCCTGCATGTGGCAAGGTTTAAAAGGCCCCAAGTTATTTCTTGTGTCAGAATTTCACATGGAGTATTTCTCTGTGTGAGGAGTGGGGAACTAGGATTATACTCCATGTGAGTACAAAACAAAAGATACAGTAAGCTTCATTTAAAACCACTCCTGGAACTAGTCACAGGAACCAGGGCAGTGCAGTGAACAAACAGAAGGGCTCAGTCAGGTTTTATGCTTCCACTATGGTTTCTTAAGCAAATAATGGTTTTACAGTTATACCCTCTGTGCAGCACTGCATGACATCCCGTTCCACCTCACTAGGAACTGGTAATTTAAGCCAGGCTTGGTTAAAAAAAAACAACTTTTCAAGATAATTATGTTCCTGAAAAATCTGCTAAAGTATGGCCAGATAGAGAACTGAAACCAGATAGAAAATCCATTAGGCTCATTATAAGATTATAGCATAAACACCTGTACTGACATCATTCACAAAAACCCCCAAACACATAAGACAAAACAAACACTTTCTTCATCTACTGGCTAAGAGAATTTCCAGCCATTAGGAGAAGTGTGAGGGACACACCTGGCCTGAACTCCTGTGCTCCTTTCTCGGCAGAGCTACGCTGAGAGATGGCCGGGAAGTGTGCGTGGAGCCCGCTGCGCCCTGGGTCCGGCTCGCTGTGAGGGCTCTGCTGGCCAGGTGAGCTGTTCCCTTTCCTACAACCCCTGCACTTCAAAGCCCCTTTTAGAGCTACTTCAATTCTTGGCATGCAAATGTTCACCCTCTTCAGGCATAGGTAATTCTTTCCATCAGTTCTCTCTAAAGCAATA